AAACTGCATAATCACCATGATCCTACATTGCAGTTTTTGATGGACTCTTACAGATCAGACCACAAGCATGGGGAGAAATCATATAAAAAATTTCCTGTGCATAAAAAAACTAGTGCATAAAAGAGCATAGTTTTAGCCAAGCCTTCTGCCTGACAGGATAGCTTTCTATGTGCAAGAGGGGTAGTGGGAAAGACATGCTTTGTAAGCAAAATGTTTTAGGTTCAAAACTATCTTCAGGGAGGGGAAGAAGAGGAGGAGGAGGAGGAGGAGAGTTTGGACTTGATATTCCACCTTTCACTCCCCTTAAGGAGTCTCAAAGTGACTAACAATCTCCTTTCCCTTCCTCCCGCACAACAAACACTCTGTGAGGTGAGTGAGGCTGAGAGACTTCAGAGAAGTATGACTAGCCCAAGGTCACCCAGCAGCTGCATGTAGAGGAGCAGGGAAGCGAACCCGGTTCACCAGATACGAGTCCACCACTCTTAACCACTACACCATGCTGGCTCTCAAAGATTCCTGCCTGAAATCCCAGAGAGCTGCTGCCAGTCAGTGTAGACAATACTGAATTAGGACTTCTGGGTTGGCGCCTCTGGCAATGGCGGATTTCCTCCGATCGGGAGGAATCCGCTCCGTGGCAAAAAGGGTCTGAACCGCCACGGCGAGGCGGAGACCCATTAAAAACCACAGGCGGGAGAAGCCTGTGGACGTGGGATTTGGCTGGCAACTTTTGCGCCCCCCCCTACTCGCGGGGAGACCCGGTTTCAGGGATCCGGAGCGACGTGGGGTGAGCGGCGCGGTGCCTTGAATCGACTGCTTCTTTCACAGAGTGAATCCGCATTGCTGTTGCCGGAGAGCGCTGACTTTTTCCTGTGGACAATTGGACTCTAAACAACGACCCGTGAGTAGAACGGAAAATTGGATTAAGAAATTTCTTCTAATTTGGCACTGAAGCGGGAAGGTCTAAACAGGAAGTCAGCCTTCCGCTTTTTGTAGATAGATTAAAGCAAAGACACGGCAAGCTAGAGTTTAGAAAATCGTCTCTAAAGGATCAATTTTCATCATCTAAAATTACTGAACCCCCCTTGGAAGCAGGAGAAGATGGGGGATTTTTTGTGGACTGTTTAAACCTGCAGAAGAGAGTGTAAAGAAAAGTAATTTTCCACCGTCTTGAACCTGGGAGAGGGGTGTCAGGACAGACGTCTTCGGGAAGTTCATTGACTATAGACAAACGTTTTTGACAGACAGTTAAAAGAAGAGAAACATAGTGACTCCATTGTTCCCCTTCGCATCTAAAAGGAACAAAATATTGACAAAATATCTGAAGAAGGAAACTTTGTTGTTAGATCTGCTATAAAAAAAAGAGAGAGATGGATACAAATAGAAGCTTTTCCCCTAGAGGGAGCTTGTGAAACTGTTATTAAATCTGAACTGGGGAGCTTTGCAGCTGCAATAGATTAAGATCGTGGGATCAGACTTTGACCTTGCACAAGAATGTACTCGGAGGCTCTGGTGCGTGCTTTCTGCAAGACAAGTGCTTTATTGGAACAGTTACATGAGAAGACGGATTTGATGACTGTTGCGATCGGAAATTTTGGACAGGTAGTGGGTATCTATATAGAACCCACTCAGGAATTAATCCAGGAGTGTGCTCTGACAGATCAGATGAGGGAGGAGGTTGTGGCTGGACCTCGGGAGGCAGAGATGGAGGGAACTGTGGCCCAGCAGGAACATGAGGTGTTGGATCTGACGAACGAACCTGGAAAAAGCCAGATTTGGAGAGATAGAATCTTGCTTGGCTTGGAGATGGGGGGCTGGATAGACCCCCCTATGCAGGGATGTTTTGACTTTTCAAGTCTGGCTTTGGGCCGGGAGGAGTTTGGAGTTGTGGGGGTCCTCAACTTTGGAGGGACTTTGAAACATGCTTTTAAATACCACATGGAGTTCAGTGTTGACTATGGAAAGGGGCTGATCTGTCGAGAAGGGACAAAAATATTGTCAAGCTGGAGTCTCCACGAGTGAAAGGAGCAGAAGACAAAGTAAAGTACAGGTATAAATATGAAGAAGATCTGCGGAAGGGACATGAAAGAGACTTAAGGGCCTCGGACATAAGGTTACCAGGTTAATGAACTAGTTGGATGGGATAGAAAGGACTGACAAAACCCAAGACCAGGAGGAAGAGACGTTGGATGAAGATTGGAAGAAAGTTTTAAAAATTTTACTTAGGAATGTTTTGTAAAATTAATGAGTATTAGGAAAATGTTGGAACGAAATTATTTGGCTTTAGCAGAAATGTTAAAAAGAATTATGTAAGAATATGTTATGGTTATGAGAAATTGGTATAAATAAGATTTAAGTTTTAAGTTTTAGGGTTCTTTATGGTAAGATAAGGTTAAAATAGATTAAGGTAATTTAATGACAGAATATTATGAAAAATGGAAAGGATTTGCTGTGATAATCAACAACTAGAATACAAAAAAGGGAGGTGTGAGGAGGTCGATGAAATAAGGTAATGACAGTTAAGGATTTGGGAATACTGGATCTGTTTTTATTTTTTTTTTATTTTTAGGCTTATTTTTGCTCTTTGATTTTGATGTGTCATGTTTTTTGTTTTTGTTTTTTGATTTTGACTTTTATCGATTTGTATTGTTTAATTGCTATTTGTTCTTTCCTTGTTTTTTCCTTGTTTTTCTCTTTGTTTTTCTGTTATTTTAAAATTCTCAATAAATATCATTTTAAAAAAATAAAAAATACTGAATTAGATGGACCAATGGCCTGACTACATATAACGCACCTTCCTATTTTATTTTATTTTATTGCTTATTGCCTGCTTCACCCTAGCAATGAAGTACATGTTACTTCATCTGCAGTGGTACAGCAAAATTTGCTGGGAATCATAGGTTAAGAGAGTTGTGTTGCACTCATGTCCTGCTAATGGTCTCCCCATAGGCCTCTGGTTGGCCACTGTGGGAACAGAGTGGGGCTGGATAGGCCATTGGTCTAATCCAGTAGGGTTCTTCATGTGTTCTTACACTCACCTGCCTGGGAGTAAGCCCCAGGGTAGTTAATCAGACTTACTTCTGAATAGACATACATAGGATATAGCATTGGTCAGACAACATTGTCCTTGAAACATTGCACTTGAAACAATGTCTATTTGTCATGATGCAGAGAAATGTAGAGGGGGTCTGAATGTACAGTGAGACTCCACCCCCTTCCCACTTTTCTGAAGCTTTCCAAGCTGCTTCTTAAAAGCCACATGCAAGCAGGTCATAGGTTATGAAATGAATTATCCTGCTTCAGGCTTCTGCTTACAGTCTATCATAGTCCAGATGGCTGCCCTCCAGGAGAAGCAGCTCCAACTGGACTTGCAAGAAGGAAGGCTGTAAAATATTTTCATTCTAACAGGCAGTTTTTACGAGAAAGTAGAATACCACAATTGCATTTGAGTGCATTTACGTTTGGATTTATGGGGTGTGTGAAACTCTTTTTATTGGAATATCGCTAGATTTATTGAATGTTATGATTGGGTATAATCATACATAACAAACAACAACAGCACAACTTCATGTGGCTGTGCATGATTCCAGGATCTTGGGATTGCACTGTGCCAGTTAAGGAATGAGGGTTAGGAGCAGAATATCGCTCTCATTTGAAAATACAAGTTTCTAGACCTTAATACTAGGGAGATAAACTTAAGGAAATGCATGGACATTGTGATGTGGAAGGAGAAGAAATATAACTTATCCATACTTTGCATAACACCTTATCCCCCCCCCCCCCACTAAACATTTACAAAGAAAAGAATAAATTATGCAAAGCAGGTATAGAAGCACACTTGATTTACACAAATCATTTAAGACCATGAGGAAAAGCTAAAGTATCTGGGGCTTTCTACTTTAGAAGAAAGATGACTAAATGGGAACATGAGAGAAGGTGATCAAATTATAGAGTTTGGAGAAAATGGATAGGGAGAAGCTTTCGTTTCTCTCTATCCGAGAAATTGGGGTCACCTATTTAATTTAATTGGCAATAGATTCAGGAGAGACAAAAAAAAATTACTTCTTCATACATAGCAGAAATAATTTATGGAATTCGCTTTTAGAAGATTTGGTGGCAGTCCTGAGCTTTGGTGGCTTTCAAAGGGGATGATAGGTTTTTTGATGGTTATTAGGCATGATAGATGGAATACCCAAATTCAGGGGCAGCATACCTTGGGATATCAGTTGGAGAGGGGCAACAGGGACATTTGAGAAAGGGCAGTGGCCACATTTCAAAACAGGACTCTTAACAATGCAATTCTAACCTTGTCTATTCAAAAGTAAACCCTATTGAAATCAGTGAGGCTTGCTCTCAGGTAAGCAGGGTTAGGGAAAGTGCTCAAGAGAAACTTCTCTCTGCCCCAGCAGGCTCTCCATAAGATCATAAGAAGAGCTATGCTGGATCAGAGCAAAAGTCTACCCAGTTCAGCTTTCTGTTTTCCAGCAACGGCTAATAAGGTATCTATGGGAAAGCCACACACACACCATGAGCACAATAGCCTTCTCTCTTTTGGTTCTCCAGCAACAGCTACTCAGTGTCTCTGAACCAGGATCTAGGACAAGATAAGCATGACTAATAGCCATTGATAGACTTATATTCCATGAACTTGTTGAATTCCCTTTCAAGGCTGTATTCTTACATCAGTCTCATTGGGAATAGTCAAGAGATGGCAAATGGTAATGGATGATCACTGGTGGCCGGTGTCCATTGGGAAAGGTGGAGAAAGGTGGGAAAGGTGGAGCCAGAACCAATGACAGGTTGAGCCACCTTCTGACTAGTTGTAATTTCCTGACTGGTTGTAAGAATTCATGGTCATCCCTCAAAGCTGAATGTTGGAAGATTCTGGACAGATAAATGGAAGTACTTCTTCGTGTAGTGCAGAGTTAAACTATGGAACTCATTCCCACAGGAGGCAGTAGTGGCCACCAACCCAGATGGCTTCAAAAGAGAATTGGACATTCAGCTCAGTTGGTAACTCAGTCAGTGAGAGTGTGGTGCTGATAACACCAAGGTTGTGGGTTTGATCCCCATACAGGCCACCTGCATATTCCTGCAGGGGTTTGGACATGTAGTTGCTTCCAACTCTACAGTTCTATGAAATTCATTGAGATAAAGGCTATCAGTTGCTACTAGTCATGATGGCCACGCTCTGTCTCTAATGGCAGAGGTGTTGTGCCTTTGAATACCAGTTGTTGGGACCTGCAGTCGGGCAGAGAGCTGTTGCACTCATATTCGGCTTGCAAGGTTCCCACAAGCATATGGTCGACCACTTTGAAAACATGATGCCTGGCTAGATGGGTCACTGCCAGATCCAACAGCCTTGTCTTATGTTCTTACATAAGAAGGCAGGCAGGTGGCAGGTGGCTAGGGTCAGACTAAGATTGTTGGGACAGGGCCCCATTTGCCCTAATGGACCAGCAGCCATTAGGGTTGAAGAATACCCATGGCCAATGATGGGAATTGTAGTCCAACAACATGGAATTGCAGAGTTGGAAGAGACACCAAGGGTCTCCAACCCCTTGCAATGCAGGAATCTCAGCTAAAGCATCCATGACAGATAGCCATCTAACCTTTGCTTAAAAACCACCAAGGGAGACGGTTCTACTGTCAAACAGCTCTTACTGTCAGAAACTTATTTGTGATGTTTAGTTGGAATCTCCTGATGGTCAAGGAAGATGTGAATTGCGGTCCAAAGACATTTGGAAGGCTATGGGTTCTAGACCCCTGCTATAGACTTTTTTTTTAAAAAAATACATTGTCATATATGAATTGATATGTTAAAAAATGCTAGGTTGAAAAGCTGACAGATTGTGGCTCAAACAAAGCATTTAATAAAGCCTTTCTAACTGCTCCTGGGAATGTATGGAGAAAATACTGAGTGGGATTCTGAGCACCATCAGGCAACAGGGCCTGTGGGCCTCTTAGTGTGCTGAAGATTACCCATCCTGAGTGGCTGACCTCTTTCCACAGCAGAAGCCCACCCACTGTGCCAATGTAATTCCCCGCACAAACACTCAAGCTGGTACGCCGTAGCACAGGATACGGTGGCTGGCACAGCGGGGGCATGGTTCGATGGAGAGAGCTAACAATGTATTAATAACAAGCCTGAGGAAACAAACAGCAAAACATACCTGCCAATCGTCAGAAGAAAAAGTTGCCCTCGGAAACAGAAATGTTTTATTACACTCTCGGTGCGTGTAGCGTGGAAAATCCTGTTGCCACAGCAATGGGGGAGGAGAAGCAGCAATAAACACAGTTGTAAAGATGCGCGGCTAGAAGAAGGCAGGCCTGATTGTCGACCGGTGACTGACAGAGGTGAACCAGCAGCTGTTGCTGTTGCATAAGCGTGAGACCAAGAGGTGGATGCTGAGAAGGAGGCTGTGTAGCTAAATCTGGTTTATGCTGGAGATGCCCAAAGTGGCTTTGGTGTGGGTTTTTGTATTTTTTTTTAAAGAACAATATATTTTTCACTACCTTTATCAGATGTTACTTCCCCCTCCCCAATCTGCAGGGAGGTGCAGGGAAGCATGCCATGCCCTCTCCACCCAGAGCAGATGCTGGCCCTATCACATCCCTGCCTATTCAAATAATATGGTCTGCACTGAATCCTTAGGTCAAAATCATGTGAACCATGATTTTGGCAGGGAGTTAACTGCACAGGAAGGGTCACCAATCCAACCCTCTGCAATGCAGGAATCACAGCTAAAGAATCCCTGACAGGTAGCCACCCAACCTCTGCTTAAAAACCTCCAGTGAAGGAGAGTCCATCATCTTCTGAGGTACAGTGGTACCTCGGGTTAAGTACTTAATTTGTTCTGGAGGTCCATACCTAACCTGAAACTGTTCTTAACCTGAAGCACCACTTTAGCTAATGGGGTCTGCTGCTGCTGCCGCGCCGCTGAAGCACGATTTCTGTTCTCATCCTGAAGCAAAGTTCTTAACCTGAAGCACTATTTCTGGGTTAGCAGAGTCTGTAACCTGAAGCGTATGTAACCTGAAGCGTATGTAACCCGAGGTACCACTGTATAGTACATTCCACTGTCAAATTCTTACTATCAGAAAGTTCTTCCTAATGTTCAGCTGGAACTTATTTCAATATTCTGTCTGTCTCTGTGTTCTCAAGCAAGGCTGGTGGTTGCTAGGAAGGTAGGTGCACTTTCACTCGCCTCCACATGAAAGGCCACATCAGGGTGAAGATATTGTCAGATTTGGCTAGGAACAGATGGATGTCTACCGTTCGCATCAGTCTGTGTCATTCTCACAAGTGTTCATGTACAAGTCCATTCTGTCCTATTTCCATATTAATCTGTGACTGTTTCAAAAACTGTTCAGAAATCAATATTTAAATGTAAGGTCTATTACAAAATATGAATTTTAAATACATATTCTGTCTCAATCTACATATTTTCAAACATACTTTATCCTAAAATACACTTTTCAAAGACATTTTGTACCCTTTTCTCAGGCAGTATGGCAAAATTTGGAGAACTGCTTTCTGCTTTCCCCTGTAGGACTTTAAAAAATTGTTCTTTATTAAAAGTTTTCAACATAAAATAAAATAAAAATCACACTAATCTAGAAAAAATATATATAAAAAAGCAAGAATAAGGAAAGGAAGGAAGGAAATAAAGAAGAGGAGAAGAACAAAAGGAAATTGCAAAGTCCTCTATCAAAATTAAATCTTAACCCTTATTCCACACACAGAAGTGTGAACTCTCCCTGGGAGCTTTCGCCCTCTTCCCCCCAGCCTCCCACCCTGGCAGATTGCCCTGTAGGACTTCCTACAGGGCTGCTGGTAAATGGCCTGAGAACAGCTTTCTGATAGCCTTAATTTCCCTTATGAACTGGGAACCAACAGCCCTTTTATTCTAGTAGCCCAGTGTGTGGAATCTGTGGCCTTCTAGATGCTTGCAGGAATAAAACTCCCATCATCCTTGACCACTGACCATGCTGTCTCTTGCTGATGGGAGCTGGAGTTCAACAGCATCTGGTTCAATGTCCTCACCCTAAAGGATCAAGTCTGCTGCTGAAGAATCCTTTTATACCTCCCCTTAGATTGGACACCTAGTAAGAAGAAATTAGGATCATCAGCCTCTATGGCATGAACTGCCTAACAAGTCAAAAAGGGAAGGAATTGGTCATCATTAGAAATACAAACAAATCTTACTGCAAAGCATGTTCTTGCTATGAAAGGGATAACATGTCAGAAACTCAATGAAATCCACTGGAAACTCTAGTGTTCCTCTTTTAGCACACAGAAGATGGTAGGATACTGCTGGGCCAGCTGTGAGTGCTGAATCAAGAATAGATTAGATATATGTGGATTTAATTAGGGATTAAGTCTCTGAGAAAGAGGGATGCCTATCCTTGATTGATTGATTGATTGATGGATGGATGGATGGATGGATGGATGCAAGGAAATAAATGGGCAGAAACACAAACAAGCTGCAGTTCTGTAGCGCCATATAAAAGATGCAGAATGAAGTTTTCTTAAAAAGACATATGCATCATTTTTTAAAAGTTTGCAGATCGCATGGTTGTGAAAGTGTGAGGAGAGTATCATAACAAAACTCTGAGGAGATTCTAAACATGATTTTTAGTGGGCAGAGTGTGGAGTGTCAATGTCCCAAAGAGCTTCTTGCTGCATCATCCACATGCATGCAGCATCCCATGAACGAAAGGACCGTCACAAATCTACTGCACATCACCTAACAGCAGACATCACCTAAAACTGTAATCATTCAACTCTAGTCATCAACAACTTCACATCAGCTGATGACCATAACATCCAATGTTGGCTTGCATGTGTGTATTGGGTCATCACAGCTCTACCAAGAACATACGGTCTTCCCTTGTGTCATCTCAAATAGTGTACAATGCCTTTCACTGGAGCAAGTTCACACAAATAGATGCTAGTAGGTCCAGTCATAACATTATTATGCATTTGCGAATCAGGCTTGCATGATGTTTGTGAAGGAAAACAAAAAGAAGAAGCTGTTTGGGAGGGCAAAACAGATGCTCCTATAGGAGGCAGTGATGGCCACCAATGTGGATGGCTTTAAAAGAGGATTGGGCAAATTCGAAGCAAACAAGGCTATCAATGGCTGCTAGTCAGAGTGATTCTGTTCTTTCTTCCCTGTCAGAGGCATCAGGCCTCTGAAAACCAGTTGCTGGGAATCACACATGGGCAGGGTGCTGTTGCACTCATGCCCAGCTTGCAGGCTTCCTACAGGCATCTGGTCAACCACTGTGAGAAAAAGGATGCTGGACTAGATATGCCTTTGGTCTGCTAAGGCAGGCTTGTGTTTCATTCTTAGGTTCTTATATAAGCCACATATCTCAGTGTGACAATTCATTTTAAAAAGAGAACCGTGGCTATTAAAACCATGTCCTTTTCAAATCTGGATCAGGCCAATGGCCTATCAGTAGCCCACTCCTCCATGTATTTTCCTAATCCTCTTTTACAGCCATCCAGCTTGGTGGCCACCACTGGCCATATAAAGCAAGCTATAAAGTTGGCACATTCACAAGCCACACACAGAGAAACTCCTTCCCTCCCCCAAGTCCAATGGTCACTTGTTAAAAACAAATAGCAAGAAATGCCAATGGAACCCAGGAAAGTGAGCAGAACCAGGGTGCGTATTTTATTACACCAAGTATTGCAGGCTACAGAGAGATACTCGAGTCTGTCATGGGGAGCCTGCAAGGCAAACCCACCTTCAGCTCCAGCAATTCAAGCAGCGTTGGCTGTCAAGAGTAAGAGTGAAGCTGTGCTAATGAAACACTAAGCGCAATCATCTCATTCTCTCACATTCTGCAAGCTGTTCACAAACAGCCTCTTGAAATTCTCCACTTTATGGAGATAAATTGGGGAGACCATGTCGCAGGATTTATCCAGGCAGGAAGAAGGAAGAGGAGTCATTCCCCAGCAGTTCCCTGTGGGTGTGACACACCATTAGCAGTAGCAAAGTTTCCTCTGCCTTCCCCGTACCTTTTTCTTTTCTGGCAACCTGGACAATATTTTGCACCCCATCCTCTC